GCCTTGAAGATCTGAACCCACATACGGAGAGAGATGTGAGTCGTCCAGTTGCAAGGTCCGGAACAGCTGGCTGTACATCACGTCGACGGAACTCCCTTCGTCGACCAGGATGCGATGTACGTCAAAATTGGCCATCTTTGCCCTTATCAGCAAGGGGATGACTGCGTTCGGGGCTCCGCCGGGGAGTTCTTCTAGGTAGAAGGTGATGGGCTCTGATCTGCCCTTCACCCTTTCGAACGTCACAGTTTGTGGAGGAGCTATGTCGACCAGTTCGTCCAACTTCCTCTTGGCTGAATTGATGGTGAGGTCGTTGAACCCGCCCCCGTTGATGACCATGGCGGAGGGGAAGTATTCCCACCTGCTGTGTGTTGTCAGGGGCTCCTGCAGGAGCTCGGGAACGTCGAAATCCTCGGGCCTGGTTACCGAGAAGGCGGTCTGGATTGGTACCGACTCGTATGATGGTCGGGCATCCTCTTCGGGCTCCTTAGCTTCATGGGCGTCACGACGGGGAGCGTCGTTTCGCCTGTATTGTGCGAGCCTCCCTCCCTTGATGAGGGTTTCAATGGCGTCCTTGAGATGGACGCAGTCCTCTGTCAAATGGCCATGACTCCTATGGTATTGACAGTATTTATTTTTGTCTGCCCCTGGCTTGGCGGGAGCAGGTCGGGGACGCTTGACGCCACCGTCTCTGAAATCTGTGCTAGCACACTCCGCCAAAATACGCTCGCGGGAAGCCGTGAGCGGAGTGTACTCGGTGAAACGGCCCGAGGGGCCCCTTTGTTCCCGGACCTCCCGGGGTCGATCTTCCTTCCTTTTCTCCCCGGTACGTCGGGGAAGAGGGTCTTGTCGCGAGCTGCTGCTATGATTGGGAGTGCGAGCCCTGGAGTCTCGGGCCCTGTTGGCAGCTTCTCTCTCCTCATAGTCCATGTATGCTCGGGCTTTGTCGAGGAGGGCGTCAAAAGTTGGAGGTGGCTCGATACCCACAGCTTTTCTGAATTCTGTGCCGGGGAGGAGGCCCCTCTCCAGCAAATATCTTTTCATATGGTCCGCGCAGGGGACCTGTATTGCTTCCCGGTTGAAGCGGTTGATGAATTCCCTCAAGGTTTCATCCTGTCTTTGGATGATGGCCTCGAGGGCCGCCTCAGTCTTCGGGTGGCGCCGAGAAGCTGTGAAGGAACTGATGAACTAATTCTTCAGGTTCCGCCACGATGTAATTGAGCCCGGGGCGAGCCCTTTATACCAGTCCATGGCCGCCTTCCTGAGAGTTGTGGGGAAAAGGAGGCATTTGATGGGCCCCCCGACATTATGATAGTGGAGCATGGCTTCGAACCCGTCAATGTGGTCGACCGGGTCCGCTACTCCATCATACTCCTTCAGATGCGGGGGCTTCTCCATGCCCGGGGGGATAGGTGCATCCATGATGGCCTGCGACAGGGGACCGCGGGGGTCGTCCTCGTCGCTCCTCTCCGGAGAAAGAGAAGGGGTCCTGTAGTTATGTCTGGCACGATGATCGTGCTGAGATTCCCTCGAGCGTGATGCTCGGTGGTTGAAGGTCACCCGCCCGTCTCCGGCGTGCCTCTTGTCGTGCCTTGATGGGTCGCGACTGGGTTCTTCGGTAGGGATGACGGGTTGTCTCTCATAGTAGGGCCGCCTCTGCTTTGGCCGGGGAGAGGGGCTCCTGGATTTCTCCCTATAGTGTCTCCGCGGGGGAGAAGGGTGTCGAGCTTCTGTGACCCGAGGAGGAGGAGAATGTGGCCTCTGATGCCTCCTCGGGGGTCGTCGATCATCTTCAAGTGCCCTTAATCTTTCTCCTTGGGCGAAGATGAGGTAATTTGTCTGATTAATGGCCGCGAACAGTGCCTGAGTCGTGGCATCTGCCCCGGCAGGAACTGGGACTTCATAGAACCGGCAGCTCTGCGATGAGCGAGAGCTACCGGGTCGTCTTCGAGTGCTGGAGGGGTCGTAGAGGATGATGCAGTAGCCCCGTCCCTGTAGGTGGAAGGTCCAGGGGCGGTTGTCACGGGGATGGCAATGTGGCCGGGATCACCGGGATTGTCGAGGTGTCCATTCTTATCCGCGGGGCCGTTATTAGTGTCGGCGACACGGACGGGCTGCTCGTCGCGAGCTGGATCAGCCATGACAGGTAGTTAGATTGAGCTTTGGTCCTTAGGATTGTTCGTTAGACGGGGAAGCTGATTCCCACAGACGGCGCCACTGATCTGACCTGATCAGAAATGGACCGTCACGGCTGGCTCCGAGCAGAAAGCTTTTTTGAACGAGGTGGGGGGGTACCTGCAAGGCACTCCGATGCTAAAGTAAGTGGGAGTACGAGCAGATAATAGTAAGTTGAGGTTAGAATGATGAATACCTGACCCTCTGGAAACAGAGGGTATTTATCGCCCCCAGCGCTGGGCCAAGGTTCCTTCATTGGGCCGGGCGGATTTGGCCCAATAGAGGAACTGCCAGGTTCTACGTGGGTAGTGGGGACCCGCACGTGGTCCCCTTCCTGGATGTTCTGCGTGAAGTGCGGGCGGACGAAGACGCGGTCTTTCCGGGGTATCGTTGGGGGAACGGTGGACTGAGTCTGCCCTAGTTGGGATGCTCGAGGGGAGCTCGAGCTGGACAGCAAGGTGTCGAGCTGGACGCCAGGCCGTGGAGCTGGACGACAGGGTGTCGAGCTGGACAGCAGGAGGTGGAACTGGACATCACCACGTGGAGTTGGACAGCAGGATGTCGAGCTGGACATCAGGATGTCGGGCACGAATGTGGCCCCTTTGCTCGGCGTGGTCCTCAGTAAGTCCCTTTGGACTGGGCCTTAGCAATGCTTTTGGGCCTGTCGGGCCCAGTCCAGAACAAGTATAAAATATGAGTATTTTTTAGAATAATTCTAAAGTCTTTGGAAAAAGAGAAGACGTATTAAAGATTAGCATAAGAGAATGATGCACATTTGTTTCTTGGTCAATAAAGAATCGAGTTTTGGTTCCAGCGACTAGTGTGTTACGTCGTGGTGGTAACAATATTAATAAAATTGAAAGTGTAGTTTTTGATCATATAATTTGTGATTGTTGTCACGTTAATTTCAATATTACTGAATTAGAGATTCATGTTGGCCGCACAAGAAATAATACGTCGACTAATATTATGTTGGAAGATGGAAGGAGAGAAGCTCTAAATTTGAGCTTGCATGATTGAAACAAAGGAATCATTTTTCTTATCAAAGCAAATTTGAAAGCATGTTTGTTTAGTATGTGGTTTTGGAGGTGGCATAGTACAATGTGATTAACCCTCTCTTTCATTTCACTTTATTTTTTAGGTCTTGATCGAATTTTAATGAGAAACTGTCTCTGTTTTTTTTTTTAATCTTTCCGTCAATAATTGCTCAATGAAATATTATGATTGAAACAAATAGTAGATACTCCACAAAATATGAAAGTGGTTATGGAGGCTTCTCAAGTTAAATAACACATGTTTAAGATAAGTGAAATTATTTATTATGAATGACTCAATAAATAGATCATCTCAAAGAACGTAGAAGACTTGAATGAACAAATTATAATTTCTAATCAAATTTTAACATTTAAAAACAAATTTTTCCTGTACTAGTTTATGCATTACTATGGTAAATAATGACAAAAAACAATGCACTTAAGCTATAAAGAAAAGTTTCAAGATCCTTTTAGGCTCGATCTTGGCGCCTTTGGAGTATTTCTTTCATTAATGACAAACGATATAATTTCACACTTTTTTTCCAACATTTCCCCCCCCCCCCCCCCCCCCCCCCCCCTTTTTTAAGCAAATCTTAGACAGAATCATTAGTAGTATAAGATTTCATGTTTAACAATTTGACAGAACTAAAACATTTTGTCAAATAGAATAGAAAGAGAGATCAGTTTCTTGTAAGATGACTTATCACATGAAATGTTCAAAAACATAGATAGAAGAGGTAACGATTAATAAACAAAAAAAAAAAAAAAATTGTTACAGATTCATTATTCAGTGAAAGCCTGGAAGGCTTTAAACTCACTATTACGATTCAGAACCGATCATTTAAAGCGAAGAAGAGTGGAAGGTTCTTGCTGTACTGTGTCTCTGGTGGTGATCTAACTCACTATTATAGTTATCTAAAGTGAAGAAGAGCAGTTTCACTAGTATCCGTCAAGTCGGGGAGAATCCGGCTCATCTGTAATAGGTCCAAGATATGACAACTCCAAACAACAACCAATGCAAATTTATTGCACTTCCATGGCGTAACTAAGTTGGTTTTGTGGCTCCAACAGAACAGCCATGAAAATGGCATAGCTGATCAGGAGAATATAATGGCACTGTCAATATAATATTACTGATTATTGTAACTGAGTGAACTAATATTACTTAATCATATTTGACAGAAAAGGAATGGCATAAATAAATAAATCAAATGAAACAAAAATGATATCAAATAGAATTGCATAACCAGTTCACATGATAGGGATTTTCACGACACACATCCAAATCTCGCCAGAAGCCTTGTCTATGACAGAAGATTCAGTGCTTTTAATAAATGCTTATTTTTAATAGTAATACTAAGACAAACACAAACCTTCACAAAGTTCTTTGTTTCGCAAAGCTTCTGTAAGGCTTCATGCGGTATAGTAACGCAGAGAACATCCAGAGCTTTCTTGAAATATTTAGTGCTGAATTTGTCAATGCCATACGTCTTGATGCCCTTTGCACCCTGTTCAAATATAACAGCAAGTGCAGAGATAAACTATTGAGCCCATTGTTATGCACACGTAAACAGCGCATCGAGAAACGACTTCATTATAATTACATCGTTCACTAGAACAACAACCACCAAACTGCAAGGGATCTCTTTGAGGAAAAGCATGGACAGCTTCTGAAGGATTAAAGACAGTTCAGTCATGTTCTGCAGTAGCTGTCATTGTCATAACAATAGTCTTTGTGGCAGCTTACAGAGTCCCGGGAGGCACAGACGATGGCGGATTTCCGAGATTACTTCATCAGAGGGATACAAGACTCTCACAGCAAATATGCAGATTGTGCCTAAAATTGCTGATACCTTTCAATGAATAATCCAATGAATAGTCCAACTCACCAGTATTTAAGTCATATAAAACAAATTGAGAAGTATATTTGTTGACTAGAAGAACAGCACCATTTTCCAAAACGAACACGGGAATAACAATAGCAGGTGGCTTGTTGAACTTATCAAGAGGGATGATCATGAATTTAGTCCATGACTCAACAACTCCATACTCTTTCATCAACCACACAACCCAATGAGTTTTGTTAGTCTCATAACACACACCAAGACAATTACTCAAAACATAGAGAGTATGTCCATAGACTTTGTCACCGTCATGTTGAGGCAGCAACAACTCCTTACAAGTCTCCTTCTCCAGATCAAAGGAAAGTATCAGTATCACAATCTGACTAGAACTAACACTAACAACTCTTTTTTTAGCAATCCAATTAAGATTGCCACTCACAAATTTCCCTAACAAACTAAACGGCCCAGTGGGTGTAATCTGGAAATTGGGAATGGTTTTCCAAGAATCAAGACCAAAGGTATAAACTCTGGTCAAAATTTGATTTGGATCATTCTTATTTCGCACAACAAGTAGTACTTTGTACTTGTCATTAACTCGATCAAATCCAAATCCGTATAGAATGTTCATCCATTCAAAAGAAACCGCTCTTGGCGATTTATTGGATTTGAACATGATAGAAGGGTTGCGCAGTTTGACACAATGATGATATCGATTATACATACATAACAACCCATTGCATGAACCTATAATCCAATATTGGTTCTTCATCTTCATCATCCCGCTGGAGTTAACGGGAGGTAATATGTTCTGGAATAATGGCTTTAAAGGGTAAGATACGATTTTTTGGGGTTCACTCAATTGAGAAAAGAACAAGTGGATTAAATTTGGTTCTGCGCTTGAAATTTGAAGATGACGCTTTACAAATTTAGGATCTGAAATTAAGGTTTTCCATGATTTGCAAATGCATTTGAATTGAACGAGAGATCTTACCGGAAGTCTCAGGAGGATCTCGACGATGAGTTCTTCCGGTAGATCGGAACGCGATTCATCGCCGCTGGGAGAGAGAGGATGGGTCAAAACGATGCCGTTTTCATGTTGGTCGCGATTCATTCTCAAGGGGCTGGTGTGTTTCTGGTGTGTTTTGGTTCGCACAGATGGAGGCATATAAATCTGTTTATTTATTTAACATGAACATTACGTTTTGAATATCTACGAGTGAGATACCCATTTCTTGGCACGAATATTAATATGATACGCGTAATTTGTACATTTATTTTTAAAAATATAATAAAAATAAAATAAAATTTAAAAATAATAATAAATAGTTGTCTATCATTTTTTTAATATATAAAAATATATTTGAATAATATATTTTTTTATATAAATATTATTTTTGTTTTGAAAATTATTGTAAAAAATATTTAAATCAATAACAAAATTATTCTATTAATATTTAATATTTTGATCAATAATTTTATATTCTCGTTAATATTTAATAATTTGATCAGTAACTTAATATTTTCGTTAATGTTCAATATTTTGATCAGTAACTTGATATTTTCGTTAATATTTAATATTTGATCATTAATTTCATGTTTCTGTTAATATTGAATATTTTGACCAATAAATTTATGTTCCCGTTAATATTCAATATTTTAATTACCAACTTCATGTTTCCGTTAATATTTAATATTTAATATTTTGATCAACAACTTTATATTTCCGTTAATATTCAAATTCACTTTATCCCTCGGATGGAGGAGAAGCTTTGGAAGTTTAATTCATAATGGTAAAGTTCTTAATGTATTATTTTTAAAATATAATAAGAAAAATAAAATTGTTCTACTAAAATAATATATTATTTTTAAAAGAAAGACGTATTTTTAAAATAAAAACAATATTGTTTTATCAAAATTCTTTTACATATGCACGTATTATATCAATACTTGTGTGTTCGCGCGGATAATGGTGTGATATGTTAAACTATCGTTAATTATTTACAAATTTAAAGAAATAAAATATTATAATGAAATAAAGAAAAATCAAATAATTTATTAATAATTTCTAATTAAAATAGTTTATTATTTTTAAAAGAGATAAAAATCAGTTTTTATAATTTTTTTTCTACATATAAAAATATTTGAATAAACATTTTAATTATTTCTATATATAAATGTTTTTTTTAGAATTATTTATAAAAATATTTAAATCAATAGTAAATTCGTTTATGTTATTATTCAATATTTAAATCAATAGTTTAATATCAGTACTATGTGTACGTACCATATCAGAATTCATGTATTTGCAATAAAAAAAAAATTTGTTTGAATTTAAAATATTTAAAATTTGAAAAATATCTGAAATTCTGGCAGCAGATACTTAATGTCACAGTGAATGTTATGACACCGTATCTAACACTCTTCAAGACAGTAAATCTAAAAGCAGTAAAGAACACAGTCAATTGTTTACCCAGTTCAGTGTGTAACAACACCTACTCTGGGGGTGTTGGCTGAAGATTTTGATGATACAGTTCGAAATGAAGCAATTGGCTGTTTCGTTGGAATAAAGCAAAATGTTACAGTTCGGAATGGTAGAAGCGGTTCTTCGAACGGACATGTCAAAGCTCGGAGCTTCGAGTGACAGTTGTGAAGATATATTTAAAAGAAGCCTCGAAGTGGTAACGAGACTGTGTCTGAGAAATGAGTTCGAAGCGAAGATTGCCAAAGCATTTGAAATTCAAACGCGAGCGGGATGTTGGAATTCAAATATATATGCGCTGGAGCGTTCGAAGACGCGTGGAAGCTAGAAAGGAGCAGTGCTCTGCATGTTCTGAACGTGGCAGAATCTTATAGGCAAGACTGTTATGGTCGAAATAGTATAAATAGAAGTCTTAGTATTAGGATTTCGTGTGTCATATCTATTGTACAAAATTCAGTAAACATTCAAAATACCACATGGCTAGGGAAACGAATGCTTGAACAATGTACGTATGATAACACCAAACATTTATAATTCAGTAAACTCTTTATCTTTTCCAGTTTATCTTCCATTTTCATGTCAATGTCATTCAAACACCTTTACATTCAAAGTCATTTACTTATCTCTTGCATTTAAACGTTTTCTTCTGTTCGAATCCTTTACATTTCAAAAACTCTTTTTACATTTCATGCTTTTATATTCATGCTTTTTACATTAAAGTCTTTACATTCAAAGTCATTTACTTATCTCTTGCATTTAAACGTTTTCTTCTGTTCGAATCCTTTACATTTCAGAAATTCTTTTTACATTTCATGCTTTTATATTCATGCTTTTTACATTAAAGTCTTTTCATTCAAAGTCATTTACTTATTTCTGCATTTAAACATTTCTTTGCAATCGAATCTTTATTCATATAATTCAGTTTCGTATTTCTTTACTTGATCATGTCATTAGATTCTTTTAACATGGTAATCGAAGTGAAGTGAACATCTATAAAACATTCTAAATACAAATCCTAACTATGAATATCAGTTTTACAAGTAGATTTATCCAAACGACCAATACCCCATAGGATCAATCTAGTCGATCCTGCAAGTTACCAGAGAGATTAAATAACAGTCATTAAGATTATTTGATAGTTTGGAGGACTAGCGGTTGTTTACCAGAAATCACTGTAAACAAATTGGCACACCTGATGGGACCGTTATTGGTCGTTACGAAATTTAAAACGAAGTAAAGATTGTTAGGATATAATCATTGTAAAAGTTCTTTCTGAGTGATAAGTTCGTTGTTTTATGAACCTTAGAAGTGGTAGAATAACCAATAGCAACCAACCCTTACCCAGAAGAAAACGTAATAACAAGATGTCTAATCCAAACAATCAACAAGGGGAACAAAATGCCCCACATGGAACATGCACTAATATGTCTGCTTCGACGGGAACGTCTAATGCGATCCCTTCGAGCGCACAGTCTGTTGCATCCTCTACCAGTAGTGTAGCCACGAATGGAACAAGTGGCATGTCGACTAACAGTTCGATCCTAGGAAATACAGGAACCACTGGTTATCCTGGGGGATTTGTCCCACCATCAGGGACACAAACCCATTTCGCCACTCCACTAACTAGACCACCCGGTTTCGATGGTAACAGACACAGAAATTCCTCTTATGGGATGTCAACGTCTTTTATGGCGGGTCTGCACACTTTGACATCGAATACGTCACCACAAGTAGGGTCTGGATCTGGGGCCAATCAATTTATGACAAATAACCAAGGGTCAGTAGGTTATAGTGCATTTCCTATCTTAACCACAGAAAATCAGATGGCTTTTAGGCAATTAATGGATGATAGTAACCATAATATGATAGGAGTGTTAGCACAAACTATGCAAGAGATCTTTACCCCAATAGTACAAAATGTAACTGTGACAAACAGAGAAAACGCGGATAACATGAGTCAAATAGCAGATTTTTTCGCTCCGCCAGAAAGGCGTAGGCAGAATCAGGTGGGGGTTCGAGCCAACATACCTATCATAGAACAAATTGCTGATGACCCACCCTATAGACCAGCCAGAGAGGGGGTTAACATGGGGGCAAGGGCACAAAGGTTAGAAGCCCCAATGATTCAAGGCCCACAAAGGGAAATTATAGAACCAGGGGAAAGGATCGAAAGGTTAGAAGTCCCAGAGTTTCGAGAAGAACAACCTAGAGGAATTGTCATGGTGGGTCGAAATCAAGATGCTGATGCAGTCGTTCACAGAATTCGAAACGATAACATCTTGGCAGAAAACAATTTAACCACCATGATAGAGAGGATTATGGCCCAAAATAGCCTCAATACAGGAATTAGAAGGCCAAATTATGCCTCTCCTATATTAGATTACATAATGCATACTGATTTACCAAGGGGATATAAGGTCCCTAAGTTTACAAAGTTTGCTGGAGATACCAATGAATCAACAGTCAAACACATAGCCAGGTATCTGACCGAAGCAGGAGACATAGCAAATAATGAGAACCTTAGGATTAAATATTTCCCAAGTTCCCTCACTAAGAACGCTTTTACATGGTTCACCACATTGCCTCCTGGATCCATAGATACTTGGACCCTCTTATAGAGATTATTCCATGAACAGTTCTACATGGGACAATCTAAAATAAGTCTGAAGGAACTAGTCAGTGTCAAGAGGAAGTTTACTGAACCCATAGATGATTATCTGAATAGGTTCAGACTCTTGAAATCTAGATGCTTCACAGTAGTTCCTGAACATGAGTTAGTCGAAATGGCTGCTGGCGGCCTGGACTACTCTATTCGAAAGAAATTAGACACACAATACTTGAGGGACATGGCTTAATTAGCCGATAGGGTTCGACAAGTCGAAAGGCTAAAGGCCGAAAAGGCCCGAGTTTTTAAAAATAACAAGAAAGAAAGGGTCTCCTATGTTGGAGCTGAGGAAGCAGAAGATTATCCTGAATTCGAATAGGTCGAAATTGATCTCGCTGAATTGAAACAGGCTCCACCTTACTCTTGTAAATTATTAGTTCCCACAAAGGGGAAAGAAATTGTTGAAAATGAGAAAAGTGACAAATTCCCAAAGAAGGTGTATACTTTCGATGTAACAAAGTGTGACGAGATTTTTGATTTGCTTGTCAAAGATGGCCAACTCATTGTGCCATCTAATGTCAAAATACCTCCTTTAGATCAAAGAAAGAAGATAGGATTTTGTAAATATCATAGTTTCCTAGGCCACAAAACCTCACAGTGTTTTCTTTTCAGGGATCTGATTCAAAATGCAATTAAGGATGGCAGATTGAAATTCGCTGACAAACCAAAAATGAAAGTAGATGAAGACCCTTTGGATGTTGCAGACACCAATTACTTCGAGTCTGCATGCATTGGAGAAATCAATATGGTGGAAGCAGATCAAGATGACACTCCATTAGGAGAAAAAAGCACTGAGAATGAAAACTGGGTGTTAGTCGAAGTCAACAAGGGGGTCACTGAGGACCTCCACAAGCAACTAGAGGCTTCGATCGAAGCAGTACCTTTGGTTGTTTCGAAAGAGATCCAGGCTACTAAAGGCCAGGAGAACCAAAAGCAAGAATTGACACAGGTTACTGAAGGCCTGAGGCTAAAACTGGAGAAAGTCCAGATCACAAAGCCACCCTCCCCTCAGAAAGAAACA